ACATTAAGGATATGCTTTATATCTCATTATGTTACCCCTATATTATAAAGACATATTAAGTTAATAATTTATATATGTTTAGATGCCCTGGAGAATCTATTATGTTAAAATTAAATAATCATAAGGATAAATCTTCCACTAGCCCTATCCAACCTTGCTCTTGGTCTCTTCTATAATACCCTCTAATTGGGCTTCGTTTAGGACGTCTTTCTTATTGCTTGCTGAAGCCACTTATTAGTATAACTTTCTTATTTGTTTTAATTTTTTTACTAAGAAGCTACTTTAGAAAGCAGTTAAAAAGTTGTCCCAAATGAATCCTTAATTTAGGCTGTGACAAACCCTCTCAATCTTGACGTCCTTGCTAGTTCACACATCTTCACCAGCTCGATCTCATGAGAAATTATTACTTGTGTAGTGCTGATGTGGTTCTACACATTATACACAATTATACATATCTTATTTATAAGTTGTACACAGTGTGTACAAACCCGCTTGTCACGTTATCATTGGAGTCTGAATGTTGCTCTACATCTGCACTCCGCACATAATAATTTCTCCAATTTTGTAGAGGTTAAATAGAGAAGACAAAAAAAAATTGTATAAAGCTACACCATAAGGGGCACAGAATTGGATTAGCTAATTAAGAATAAAAAATAGCAACACCAATAGAAATATAAAGTAAATAACTGATTAATATAATCTCAAACTTAATTCAAAATAGAATAAAAACAAAAATTCCCCATAAAAGTTTTCTCACCCGTATTTTGTACGCTAATTTTGGTGGAATTTCCTTATAAAGTATTTTGTTTTGCATTGAAAAATTAAATGCCATCGGAAGCTTATAATGTGAATGTTGAATTGTCAGTGAAAGTATATGATGTAGCGTTCTTCAAAGTGTTTGGGTATTCTTGGTTTCATATGAAAATGTAACAAGCGTGATAAACAATTACATGGCAATTTTAATAAAAAATATTGATTTCATATGAAAAAAAAGTTTATGGTTCATTTTCTATTTAGATATAATAATGATATTTATAAATGTTTTAATCAGTGGCGGAGCCAGAAATTTTATTCAGAGAGATCTAAATTAAAATATTTATATTTGTCATTTCATTTAGAAGATTAGAATACATTAAAATAGTTATGTTTGTCGTCTGATTACCGGATCCAAGAGGAATAATACAAATAACATGGCCCTTGGAGTTTAGAAGACATAAACCACTGCCACGGGCGATCTTCGTTTTAGGGCAAGAGAGGAGCGAAAGGGAAAACGAAAGCTATGCTCGAGGTTGTAAGTCGCGAGTCGCGAGAGAGAAGCAAAGGGGAAAACAAACCATTGATGATTTTATGTGTCCAAAAAAAGATGTTGGTAGCTTCTTTGGATTAATAAATAATTTTAAAAGCAAGAATTACAAAAATTAGAGCACACTTCCTCATTGGCGAACTTGTTGCTTTGTTAAGCCACTAAAACAATCAGATTAAGCCCCTTTAGGCTTTCAGTTTTAGCTTTAGTCAAATGCTTTAGAGGAGATCTCTTGAACTTGTTGACTAAAATCTCTTTTCATCATTACGTCCACAATGGAAAGTCATTCCTCCCTCTCTCTTTCAATATTTTACCCCATTAGTCTTTCTACCTCTACAACTAAAGCATTGCATAGTCAGAGTAGAAGGTAGATTGAAGATTTGAAATAGAAAAAGACTATAATAAATAAAATGAAAGCCAACAACGGATTGTACCATAATGGATGCTTAAGTTTTATATATGGGCTCATGTCATTGTTCTAAGTAATTTTTTTAGGAGGCACCTGTTATTAGAACAACAATAATATTAATTATTTCAAATGTATTCTTGCTGTCCAATAACGCTATTACGTGTGTACCTACACCTAAGGGTACTCTATATATACTCACGTACATCTGTTTACAAGTATTCAAGTTTGTTTTCTAGCCAAATACTCTCTTGTCTTTTCAATGTTCTTGCAATTCTGCATGGTATCAGAGGAGGTTCGAACCTGAGGACCCATGGCGACTTTGGCTTATGCATCGTCTCAAAAGAGGGCCACGAACCAGGTCCTATGTCCGAAAAAACTCATATCTTCCGCTCTGTAAAATTCGTTGTTTCATCTCCAAAAGCTCTGCGTCCCTCACAACTTCACTGGATAATTATCCGATCTGAGGAATCAAATAATCAAAACTCCTCAAGGCAAACAGAATCGAGAAATTTCTTGAACCCTCCTCATCGCCGGACTCTTCTCCGATTGTTCAAGAAACTGAAAAAACAATCGATCCCAATGAGCGTCTGTGTGCGTGCGAAAGGATTTCTGCTCGTGTGGTGCGAATGCAAAGAGTACGATCACACTATTCCCGTGGACAAAATGGTCGTAGGCCTTTACAATCGCACCAAGCAGGCCGGATGAAAGCAGATGGAGTTAGAGATACGATTAGCCATGGAGGATAGCGGCTTCACCTACCAACCTCCGATGGATAATAATATCTATAAAACTCAAAATTCACGAATTCCCCTATTCGAACATCACTCAATATGATTTAGTTTGAGTATGTGGCGTTATCGGTTTCCTTACGGCGCAAGCCCCCGTAGTTTAATTACATTCTTAGACTCGATCTAAGAAAACTCTCATAAGGACATTAGATTATTCCTCTAAAGTGAGTTAACTGCAAGGATTTCTAGTGTTTTCCTAATCAAAGGGGAAAACATTTGTTCCCCCCAACCCTTGGGGCTCGGGAAAGCAATCACACAAGTTCAGTCAACATCTGGGCATCTGAAGAAAAACTGGAGAAAAAGAGAGAGGCCAAGCATTCTAACAGCACGAAGAAAGAAGAGGTGACGCACATATGTGACGCGCATCGGGTAGGATTTTATAGTCTCTGGGGAAAAGTAGAGAGCTTAACCCACCAATAAGGTGTGTTGTTTTTTTCTAGTGTTTATCGTACCACTCACCTTTAGATCCGAAATCTAAAAAAAAATGTAGTGGTGCACGCACAACATTAACATCTACGACTTAGCTAATGCATCTGCTTACTCCTGTTTTGTGGGGCTATGGGTGTTGTTGTGGTGGGTTACGTGTTTTTTTGTGTTTCTATGGTGGTTTTTGTTATTATGGCAAAGGAAAGCCAGCTAAAACCACCTAATCGTATAAGAATCCATGCTGAATCCCAGTCTGTATGAAAGATTGGAGGGTAGTTTAGACGCTGAAATTTGGGATCGACCACGATGAGAGATTCCTAATTGATCCCACAATTTATGAGTGTTAATGCTTCCTAAAAGCTAATGCAATAAAAATCTTAATTATTAATTCAGTTACTAATGCAATTATATGCTGTAAAGTCTCAACAATTATGTATGAATTTTTAAAGCTTTATAAAATAATTTTTTGAATGACTAAAAACTTTCCCCAGGTCCGGGCACTTCATCACTCATAGCCAGATTATACCGGACTCTACCCGCAGAGCGAGAAGTTTGTCTTAAAAGAAGAGAGAATGCATGCACATGCTCCCCGCGAGGATTCCGGCCTTAATTCCCTAGAGTCGTTATGGTATTCTATGTGAATTAATCTTAAAAACAAAAAAAAAAATTTTTTATTTTAATAATTATGAGCATTTATAAAAATTTTATTCCTAAAGAGTCACGCTAGCGGCAGACACAAAGCACAATTTTCTGCAGAAAGGAAACCGAAAAAAGCATGTCTGGTTCTACTGCGGCAATCAAGTAAGAGAAAATCACAACACAGGAAAGCAAAATCCCACGATAATAAGAGTGTTCCATTGCAAGTGCCATACAATATTTACATCACAGAGGTACAGTAAAAGTTAAAGTGTGGCCTGGCTTCACGACAACACCCGATAAAATGACGCAAATCTTTTAAATGCAGGCCATTTTACATCTTCAGTCTTCTTCTCAAACTTCTTGATCGTCTTTGGACTCATCTTCTTTTCCTTCGGCTCCTTTGTTAACGCTGATACGCTCCAATAAGGATGCCCAAATGAAAAAGGAAACCCCCTGTAGGAGTTTTACTTTTCCCTTTGCGACTGCACTACCATTTAAAATGTTCCCATTTTTAAATGATGTTTCACAAAGATACTATCAAATTACATTACATGTATGAAAAATAGAAAATCTAGACTCTCCTGCAGGGTTATCCTAAGCAGTCTATATAAAAATTCACCCAAGCAGTTAGATATATATTAAAAATGCTGAAATTAATCACACTGTCAATTTGGCCTGTGCGTGCGTGACGAGTGGTGAAGCGCCGGCCACCTTTACACTAACGTGTAACTCGTGGGTGCAGCTTAAGTCAAGCTGAATGCAGCATTCTGTAGATATTTGTGATGGATCTTTGCCTGATGGACACTCTTTTTCGTAGGTCGATTTTGTTTCTGTGTTGTGATTTACCTTACATCTGACCTGTTTGGCGCAAGGTAGACAGCATGTTTTATAGGTTTCTTACTGCGATCGTCTTGTGGTATACCATATAACCCGCTAGGCCACTCATTCTTATTTAGAGGACAATTAAAAATTTATTTTTAATTTTTTAGCCTATCCCTCAATAATTT